ATAGGGCATGTGCGCTCGCCAGCCAGACAGAGAGAGACATAGAGACAGAAAGCGAGAAATCACCTCCCAGGGGGGATGGCCACGCCACAATCCCTTCTCCTCCATTCTCCTCTCGGGATCTTGGGCACACACGCACACGCGCCTGGCAGGAGTTTTAAATCAGGTCCGGGACGCGAACCGCGGTTGACTACGTGGGAGTCCAGCGACATAGCCATTACGCTAACTGCTGGTTCCCTCCATTGGGTTTTGACGTGAGGTCAGCTGCCGTTTATACCACCATTTCACTGTGTATAATGTGCCCCTATGGCTTTTTCTTTCCCATCTACCTATTTTTAAAAAATTGACCTTTTTTAATAATTTACATAAAATAAACTTTAGCCATGTAAAATTTTATGATTTTGATAGTTGTATACAGCCGTGAAATCATACCAGAATGGAGATACAGCATGCATCTTTTACCCTGATAAAAACTTCTGCCCCTTTGTAATCATCCTTACTTATTACTCCCGTACCTCTATCTCAGTCAACCTCTGATCTGATTTTTGTCACTATAGATTATTTTAAATTTCAAATAGAATCATATAGTGTATATACTTTTTGACTGGCTTTTTTGACTCATGATGATTTAAAGTTTCATGTATTTTTTTTAAAAAAAATTATGGAGAATAATGTTCTAGTATATAGATACACCACAGGATATTTATGCATTCTCTTGTAGATCAATACATAGATTGTTTCTTTTTGGAGATATTGTGAATAAAGTTAATATAAGCATTTACATTCATGTACTTGTACTGGCCATATGCTTCTATTTACTTTATATAAATACTTATAAGTGAAATGATTAGAGCATATGATAGTATGTCTAACTATAGAAAACAAATTGGCATTTTCTTGAGTAGTTGATCTCTATGGCTGTATTTTTATCTTTGTGTTTCAGCAGTTTGACTATGATATGCCTCTGTCAGGTTTTCCTTTTATTTATATTGCATATGCTTTGGGCTTTTCCCCCCTTTAATTCTTTGATATTATTTTCTTCAAAAGATGAAACTTAATTGCCCTTCTCTTGAATATGGGTTAGACTTAGTGATATGCTTGGAAGGAATAGAATATGGCAGAAGTAAGGCTAAATGGCTTTCCAGGTGAGATCATGAAAAGAATACTTTCTTCCTGGCTCTCCTTCTCTTGGATGGTTCATCTTTAGAGAAGCCAGCTGCCATGTGATGGGGCCATTAGCCTGTGGGGAAGCCCACATGGGAAGGAACTGAAGTCTTCACTGACTGCATCATCTTGCCAGTCATGCAAGTGAGCTACCTTTGGATGACTATTTTCTTAGCCCATTCTTTTTTGTTGTTTTTCTTTCTTTTTTATTAATGATAGAGCACATGTGCATACATGTGAGAGTGAGACAGAGAGAGAGAGGCAACTTCCATAAGGTCTGGTAATACTATAATCCCTTCCTTCAGTCCTACTGCCTGTCAGATCTTGGGCATATTTGAGGCTGGATGGGACATGGATTCATTCTTTTTTTGAGAGATCTTTGCTATAGGGCATGTGCGCTCACCAGAAAGACAGAGAGAAACAGAGAGATAGAAAGCGAGAACCCCTTCCCCCCCGGGGGCGGGGTGGCCACACTGCAATCCCTACTCCTTCATTCTCCTCTTGGGATTTTGGGCACACACACACGCCCAGCATGAGTTTAAGCCACCAGGTCTGGGACTCGAACCGTGGTCGACTACATGGGAGTTCAGCAACGTAGCCAGTATACCAACTGCTGTTCCCGGGATATGGAATCAAAATGCAGTTGCCATGTAGAATTTGGTGTCTCTTGATCAGTGCATTACTGCTGCATTTCAGAGCTAGCCACTTAGACCATATCTTGACTGCAAGTTCATGAAAGACCTGATATTAGTTAGTTTTCTATAGAGAAAAACAGTACCAGTAGGATGTATATACATATATGGAGAGATATATTTCATGGTATTGGTTGACACCGTAGAGACTGGTAAGTCAAAAATCTGCATGGTAAGCTGGCAGCTTGAAGACCCAGAAGACAGATTGCAGTTCAGGTCCAAAGGCTGACAGGCTGGAGACTTGGGGAAAAACAGTTTTGAAGATCAAGTCGGAAGGCTATTTGCTGGCAGAATTGTTTCTTCCTAGGGGTAGATCAGTCTTTTGTTCTAGTCAGACCTTCAGCTGATTGAATGAGGCCCACACACATATGGAGGATTATCTGTTTTATTCAGAGTCCACTAATTTAAAAATGCTAATGTCATCCCAAAATGCTTACAGAACCACTCAGAATAATGTAACCAAATATTTGGACACTGTGGCCTGCCAATTGACACACTAAATGAACCATCAGAGACCCCAAGCTTGAACTTTCTAGCTATGCTGCTCCCAAATTCTTGATACACAGGACCTGTGAGGATAATAAATGGTTGTTTTAAGTCTCTGAGTTTTAGAACACTTTGTTATTCAGAAACAGGTAATTAATATGCTGCTTTGTAATTTTTGTCAGCCAATTCTAACATTCGGATCATCTGTTTCTATTGTCTGATTTTATTTATTTTTTTATTTTCCTGATTTTAGGTCGTGTTTTTCTGCTTCGTCACATGTCCAGTAATATTGTATACTATACTGTAGAGAGTTTGAGTATGTTGTTTTTGTTTAAAAGGTGTGCTGCGAGGCACTTAGATTACAGATAAAACTAAGAAAAATCTATTGGGTCATCAGAAAAGTCATGATGCATATTTGCATAGTAAAACAATGAAAAATACATCATGACTTTTCTGACGATCCAATATATTACAGTTATTTGCTGGCTGTTGGCTAAGGCATGAAAATAGTTGCCTCATATTTTGTCTCATTTTATAGCATCACCATATCAAGGCAAGCCTGGTACCAGTTATTTCATCATGGTCAAAAGCAAAAGCATCATCTCTAATTTAGAAAAAAAAAAATTTAGAAGTTTTTGCCTCAGGGCATGTATGCTTACCAGAGAGACAGACAGACAGACAGACAAGACACAGTGAGAGGGAAAGTGAGAAATCACTCCCCAGGGGAGATAGCCATGCCTCAGTCCCTCCTCCATTCTCCTGGGATCTTGGGCATGCACATACATGCGTCTCACATGATTTTCAAGCCACTGGGCACAGGCCTCAAACTCTTGTTGGCCATATGGGAATCTAGCAGCCTAACTGGCACACCATCTATCGGCCCTTAATTTTTATAAAATATTTCTTAATCACTCTTTGGGTACTTCCCTTCGCTCCTTATGTGTCTAAAGCTGTATTCCTATGACTATGGAACTTCAGAAATATTTTCTTCTAAGGGGCTTCCCCCCAAAATAATCTTAATTAGAACTTCACTCTTCCTAACATTTCCTTTCATCTGTATTAAAATATAGCTTTTTGCTCTCAGAAAGGCATTTGTTGGGTACCATGGGACTGTAAAGATAAATAATGTACAGTCCCTGCCATTAGAGAACAACGTTGTCCTTGGAAGCCAGGTAGTTTTATTGTAGTTTTTATTAACTACAGTGAAAACAATGACATGTATCATATGAGAGCTCTATATACATTGTATTTTGGGGGTGAAGAATGAGGAGTAAATTCTGACTGCTGTGTTTAGGGGAGACTTCATAGAAGAAGGTGCATTTTAACTGTATTTTTGTAGAGAAAAACAGAAACAAAGGCATGGTTGCTTAAAAATGTACAGAAGATAGGTGGCTATAGTGGCTAAAGCAGCTGGTAGAATGAAAGGCCCTGGAAGAAATGGAACAGTAAGGAAAATTTGGAAAGATGAGCGACCTGAAAGAACAGCTTAGAAATCCAGGGTAAATTTAATGGAAAGAAAGGTAGAATATATTAAATAAAAATAAATTGAAGGACATTTTACGTTTTGGCTCAGCCTGGTAATACAGTCGGTAACAAACTGAACTGGAGTGCTGGAAACATAGCCCACTGCAGGTTCAAACTCCCTGTTAAGATTGGAACCACTCTGGGTGTCCAAGATCCCGATGAGCTACAAGGCTGTGAGAAGGGAATTGTGGCATGATGAGACCATGTCAAGAATACTCTCTCTCTCATGCATGTACATGTGCTCTCTATCAGGAAAAAAAAGGAACAAATTTAAAAGTAAGTAAAGGACATTTTATGAACCAAAGTAACCCTGAATAAGAAATTTTAACTGGTACCAGCAGTTAGCATAATGGCTATGTTGCTGAACTCCCGTGTATCTGACCATGGTTCAAGTCCCGGACCTAGTGACTTAAACTCATGCCGGGCACATGTGCATGTGTGCCCAAGATCCTGAGAGGAGAATGGAAGAGAAGGAATTGCAGCATGGCCATCCGCCCTGGGGGGTGATTTCTCTCTTTCTATCTCTCTGTCCCTCCAGTGAGCACACGTACCCTATAGTAAAAATGTCTCCCCCCCCCAAAAAAAAGAGAAATTTTAGCTGGGAAGGCAGTAAGAATGAGGAGAAATAGATATAATAAGCCACCCAAAAGGACACACCATAAGTTATATAATTTATATAAAGAAATATGAAAATTTCTTTAAAATTGTCGATTAGAGCCTGGTGGCAAGAAAAGTCGATATATGAGTTACTATTGCAGTTTAACAAACAACTGCAAAACTTGGTGGGATGAAACAGTTGTTTTATTATTCTTACATCAAATACAGCAGAGTGGGAATAGCTTGTGTCTGTTCCATGATGTCTGGGGTCACAGTTGTTGGTGGTGACTCTACAGCTGGGACTTGGGATCCTCTGGAGTGTCTTCACTTATGTATCTGGGTGCTCAGCTGGGACTATCTTTCAGGAGCCCCCTGCCTGTTACCGTGACATGTGGTCTTGAGTTGTCGGATTTCATACATGGTGGTTCAGCACTCCAGTTTTGATTATTCCACTGGATAACAGAGAAGTTGTGTTTTCTTTTATGATTTTTTATTTAAATTTTTTTATTTATACTCATTCACTGTACATCATTACTGCATACAAACTGAGATTTTCCATCCAGAATACACTGTGTATTGGCTCAGTCAAGCACATCAACACACATGTTATCGTCATCAAATAATTTTCCATTTCTTGTTTCCTGTATATTTTGCTTTTTTTCCTATCCTTGATTCCCTATCTCTCTCCCTCGGCCATCTCCCACCTACCTCCCACACTGTCTCTGGTATCTATGGTTGCTTTCTATGCCTTTTTACCCCCATATTTTATTGATTCACCAAAGATCTTAATTAATCCAAATATTTTCAACAGCAAGTGCAGCTGATATATACATATCCATGAACACGAGTCTGACTTTAGGCATAAATCTCAGTGAGTAGAGTGAACATGCTATAAAGTAGCACCTAGCTGAGGCTATATAGCTTACTGCAGTCATCAAATAGGTATTTTTAATGCCTTTTTTTAAATTTCAAGAAACAGTTTTAGTTTTTTTTCTGAACCTTTTTTAATCTTAATTTACATTCATTCCCTAAGCATCGTCACAGCATACAAAATGTGATTTTTCATCCAGTATACTGCATAGTGGCTTAATCATACATGTTATTGTCAGTAATTTTTCATTTCTAGTTTCAAATATACACACACACATACATAAATACCTACATATATATTTTACCCTTATTTCTGACCCTCTGTCTTTTCCTACCCTCTTCTCATACTATCTCTGGTGTCTACAGTTAATCTTCCATTCCTTTTCCCGCCACATTTTATTGATCACACAATTTCTTAAATAATCTAACTACTTTCAATAGCAAGTTCAGCTGGTAATGTCAAGAAAAGCAGTTTTAACTGAAATCAAAGAAATCCTAAGGAACTTTGCTTAAAACTTAAAGCCAGGAAACAGATTAGGATTCTGTACAAATATTAGGTACATGAACCTATCGACAGCTCAAGACAGGACAAAAATCCTTAAAAC